CTTCCTGCCACTTTGCTTTCACTAGGCAGACGAAGTCTGTGAGGACTCATTGCTTTTGCCTTGCTTTTCTCTTCATTGCCTTTCCAGGCCTTCAGAGGCATGGAAGAGACAGCAGCAAATAATATTTATTATTTTTGTATCTCTGTTTTTGTCTTTTCTCTTAGTCACATTTAGGACTTACAAAGACATATGCAAGTGCTTCATGTTAGTCAGCAGAGTAGTCCAACCAGATTCATAAGGATGAGTCATGTTGTTACGGGAAAGTATCTTCATAACAATTAAGAGGAGCAGGGAGCATTAAGTCGAGACAGAGCTGAAGGGCATGTGTGCACACAAATCCAAATATTCAGTGTTTCTTTAAGAAAAATTTAGAAACCAGAGCCCTTCATGTGAAAGAATTATTACATTACTATTAATTAAAACTGATATTGTACGTTCTTGTTTTCAAGAAGAGCATGTCTGCCAGTAGGTCATATTTCTAGGAAGGCATCAGCTGATTTACCCATTTGATTCTATGCCAGGTGACACTGCTAGCAAATACTACAGCATGTGGTACAAAATTTATGTTCCACTCATCAAACACAATGCTATAGTGTAGTAAAGGGGCCTGATTCCCCCCCAGGACACTCACAGATTTCTCAGGGCTATTGCTGAATCACCTAAAGGATTACTTAAAAACACAAGTTAGAAGGGGGAAAAAAAAAATAGAGGGTTGAGTTTGAATGCAACATAGCTTTAATGACAGGGAAGCAGAGGATACATTTGGTGAAGACAGTCACACAGAGCACAAAGGATCTTTCCCAGGGCTTTGGGAAGCGATGCAGCTCCACGCGTGCCAGCAAAGTCGATCACTTGGACATCACCGGGCTGCAGCTTCCCCTGCAAGGTTAGCACAGCCCAGGGCTGCTGGAGCACAAGACGTTGCCCCTTCAGAAATAACCGGAGCTACAGCTTCCTCCACCAAACCTCCTGTAACCACAGTAGCCCCCACCACTCTGAGAGCTCCCCCCACCAAAGGACAAGCTTCCTCCACAGGAGCCCCCAAAGCCCCCGCCGTAGGAACTTCTGGAGCTGAAGGATCTTCTGCCTCTGGACGAGCTCCCAAATGACCTGCTTCCTCCATAGGAGCCCCCAGAGCCAAATGAACTACTGCCTCCGTATGAGCCCCCCATTCCTAGGGAACTGCCACCTCCGTATGAGCCCCCCATTCCTAGGGAACTGCCACCTCCATATGAACCCCCAGCACCAAATGAGCCTCCTGATTCAACAGAGCCCCTTGGCCCTGGAAAACCCCCAACGGGTATTGGGAACGAGGTGCCCACTATGCTCTCCTGAGGGCAGGAGCTGAGGATGGGCCCTGGGAAGGTGACGACCACTGGTGGTGGGTAGACCACAGCACGGGAGTCCCCACAGGAGGTGACGCAGGGCCAGTTCCAGGCTTCCGCACATGGATCTGGGCAGATCACCTCGCAGGGTGGGAAGCATCTACTGCTCATGAGCTGTCCTCCTGAAGACATCTTTTGTGAAGTAGATAAATCTGCAACACAGGTTAAGGAGTAAAATGTATATGCAGCTCTGTGCCTTTAAACAACCGCCATGATGACACAAGCCGTATGTTTCCTGATAGAAGGAATTACTTTCTTAAAAATATGAAAACTACTCTTGTGGAGATGTCTAACTTTACTCCAGTCTGAAATATTGTTCTTCAGTATGGTTAAAGCTAAATAATACAGACACAAATACAACTTCTCTTGCAGTCCAGTGTAGCTGCCAGAAAGGAATATGTCTTTCTAAGGCATCTTTAGCCTGTCTTCATTCTGAGCACATATCTTATTCTGTTCCACCACTAACGTCTAGTCTATTAAGGAGATAGCACTAATTTATTAATCTCAGCTGTTGGGTTCTTTTGGAAACAGGCTTGACAGACCCTGTAGTTATAAAGAGAAATTGACAGTGGTTCTTGCCATAAATATAAATATAAATATAAATAT